TGTGGATAACAAATCAAAAAAACCCTAAACCCTAATAGATTCAATGTCTGGGTGGTCTTGGGGTGGGATGTCGCGTCCAGCTCGGCGCGCCGCCCCGCGACCCTCTGGGTCGAGGCGCGCCGCTTACGATGGGAAACCCTAAACCCTAAACCCTAAACCCTAAACCCTAAACCCTAAACCCTAAACCCTAAAACCTCGTGCGGAGCCTCCTCAAGTCAATTTACTTAAACTCCCTGGTGCGGAGCCTCCTCAATCAATTTACTTAAACTCCCTCGTGCAGCCTCCTCCCTCGTGCGGAGCCTCCTCAAGTCAATTTACTTAAACTCCCTCGTGCGGAGCCTCCTCAAGTCAATTTACTTAAACTCCCTCATGCGGAGCCTCCTCAAGTCAATTTACTTAATCGTGCGGAGCCTCCTCAAGTCAATTTACTTAAACTCCCTCGTGCGGAGCCTTCTCAAGTCAATTTATTTCAGTAATTTACTTCTTTATTTGGCCGGCCTCGGCCTCGGAGGCCGGCGCCTGCGCGAGCCTAATACATAATACCGGAACCGCTCGGCTCGCGCGGTTCGTGCAGGAATCAGGATCAGGCTTGAAACCTTGCAATTTTTATGTTTCTCTTAAGTTTTCCAACCTAATGCCTAATAGCCTTCCTACCCCAAATGCCTTTGTTTCTCCCTTGGCACCACCGTACACATAAAATCAAACATTGACCACCCTGAACCAGTGCCAACCCCGCCGTAAACAGATTTCGGCTGGTACAGAATGAACATCGCGGGTTGGTTAGGTTGTGACAAATACTATAGACTGAATCCCTTAACCCCAACCCTGAAATCCTACCAACAAGCACAAAAGCCCTCAACTGTCAACACCCGCAAAACACCGGACGCAGACAAATCTCAACACAGGCAATCCCTTAACACCCTCAGCAGTCCTCTAAAGCCTTCATCCCTGCTCTTAAAGCTTCAAACCCGCCAAAGCCAAAAACCATTACCTGAGCCCTGAAGCCTAAGCCCTGACCCTGCATCCGTCTCTGTAAACCCTTCCTTGACAACCCTAAAACCGTAACAACCCTTAAACTCGTGAAGGGCACGCCGATAAAACAATATCGCTGAGCCCTGTTCGGCCCAAAACTAACCCTGAACACAAGAACACACCGAAGCCTTGAAGCCTGATTACAAGCATAAACTCTGATTAAACCCTCAACGCGTAGTCCTATACCTTAAACTCTAGCAGCAACAAGAACAGCAAACAGCCACGAAGCAAAAGTCAGGTAATTGCAACGATAACGCAACACCAAACCCTTAGATCGTACCTGCAAACCCTACATGACAGGATTCGGAGGCATGGGTGGACCCTGCCAGATTGCATACCTCAAACTCTCAGCCCTAACTCTGAAAGCCACAAGTTTGCGATGCGTTCGTTGCTTTGGCATGTCTTCAACCGGGGACATGTTGTCAAAACCAAGACACCGCAGACGGCTGAAGAACTCGATCCTTTGTTTGTGCCGAAACAGGAAGCCCAAAACGCCAAACTAAAACCCTACACCGAAAGCCTGAAGGATTGGAAGGCCAGGATCTGAAATCCCAATGCTCATTTTGGCCCATGTGAACGGGCGCCCGGAGCTTCGTGGGCCGATGAGCACTAGGTCATCCTCAGACTCCTTTGGTAAGGCCTTCCTCTTGGCTCCTGAACGATTCCGGGACTGTTTGGGTCTTGGTGGGTTTGAGGCCGAAACTCGAAACTTTCAGGACCATGGTTTTCGCACGGCACGCAGGCTTGACCTGTCGTTTTGGGGTTCGAGTCTAGATGCTTCCTTCTTGGCTGTCCAATATGGTTTAGCGCATCCGTTGCAAGGCCGCTCGCGCCAGACTGACGTCCAGACTGGAGCTGGAAAAGGTAGGGTTGGATCGGCGGCCTCCAGCTATTGAGGCGACGCAGGTCACCGATTCTTTGTAAAGGCTGGGTTGGAGTTGCAGCCGCATACCTTCCTTGTCTTATACTGTCAGCCTGAGGACTCAACCAATCCATGCGTAGCCGAAACCCGAATGCGCTCTCGTGGGGCGCACTGAAAGGATCCTATATCAGCCGCCCACCCCAATAAGCAATTGGGTCAGAACAAAGTCTACTAGCAGACGGCTCCTGAGACGGAAATGAAACGTTCTTGACAAACAGTTTTTATGGACATTCTACTACAAAGCTTGGGGAACCATCGAACCGTTTCAGGAAACCCCACCAGACCGTTGCAAACACAACTCGAACAAACGGTGCAACGCGCCCTGACATCTAAATGCACGGAGCGACAGTGCACATGTGAATATAAATATGAACACAAGAACAAATAAGTAAATAAATGAATACACGAACATAAATAAACAAAAATACACACAGCCACCATACAGCTACACAGCTACACCCCCAGGATTTGCCTACCTGTTTGGAGTGTTTATACCACCGGTGTGTGTCTGCCGAACTTCATGTGCACAGGCGTTGGCCACAGCCACTAAAGTTGTTTCCTGTACTGCTTGCCTCACGTCTCATCCACTTACTGTCCTGTGCATGTGAATGTGCTTCGTATGTTTTGTGTGCTGTGCGTGTGTGGCTGTTGTTGGTAAGTTCAGTTATTTCCGATGATGTGTTTTCCCAGTGTGCCAGGTGGCGGATGTGCCGTGTTTTGTCGCGTGTTTCAAACGTTTCAGACTCTGTGTACACCGGTCCCCAATGCTTCAAACTGTGTGCGCAGTTTTGTTGAATGTTTCGGCTCAGTCAGAAGCAGAAAGCAATGGAGAAACCAATGAACAACATGAGTCAGAAGCCGAAAACAGTGGAACAACCAATACAACCTTGATTTGCAAACAATCAGTTCCAAGAGAGGACACGCTTCTGAATCATTGATGTATTGTTTTTTGCAATGTGTTCGGCTCCGTCTGTGCATTCTTAAACTTACTGTTGTTTCCAATGTTTCCGCGCTGTCAGAAACAGAAAACAACGGGATAACCAATAAAACAATGATTTTTCGGACTGTCCCGTCTGGGTGGTGTCACGCCCGCAGATAGTTTGAAAGTCATGGTTTTTATGGTTGCCTTTGATTTTTCCACTATTTCCTGCTTCTGAATCATGTTTTTTCAGTCCTCTAAACTCAGCTCCGTATATGGTAAATCGGACTGTTCGAGGGTGCCAGTGCACCAACAAAGCCACGTGTTCTTGGCAAAAATGCTGAGAAAAGGGTAGGTACATGGGTGGGGGATGGGCACCATACACATATACAAGCATGCATACATACTTACATCCATGCATACATACATACATACATGTAAACACATATATATACATATATGTGTGCGTGTGTAGTCATATGTATATATGTCTGTCTGTATGTATGTGTATATGTACATGTATACAAATACACAAATGTTTGTATACATACAAACACATACGTACATACATACATACATACATACATACATACATACATACGGATAGATAGATAGATAAATAAATATATATATATATATATGATATGATATATATGTGTGTGTACATACCTACATATAATGTATATATATATATACACAAACATATACCTGCACATACTTAAATATACATACATATGTCTGGACATATATATATATATATTTACATACATCTGTCTATATATATATATATGTGTTTGTCCCTGTCTGTGTCTCTTGATTGATTGCTTTTCAGTCTGTCACTCTCTCTCTCTCTCTCTCCCTCTCCCTCTCCCTCTTTGTCGATTTCGCGGGCCGAAGGGTCCGATCGAGGACCCCATCAGTGTTGTTGCTTCAGGGCCAGGCATAGTCAGCAAAATCCAAAGAGATGAGCCGCTGGTATCAGCCAACTCACCACAATTAAGGCTCCAGCTGGTGTCTCGCGCTCTCTCCCTCTCTTTTGCTTTCTCTTTCTTTCTCTCTCTCACACAGTTGTTAGTAACGGAAGGTGTAGAGGGACCGCGACAGTATCGGACATCAAAGCTCTCGCTCAAATCTTACACCCTTCCAGCTTTCCATTCATAAATAGAAGCACGCACGCCTCCTTATTCTTTCCTTTATCCAGCCATCTCTCTCTGCGTATACACATACGGAAACATGTGGATTTTCTTTGTCACACAGCCATCAGCCCTCTATACCCACCCTTCCATTTTGAAGCAGGCCTCTGGCTCCTGATGCCACCTCCTCCACAGCGGTGGCCTTCTCTACCACAGGTGCCTCCAGAATGCCTCACATCAGCCAGGCTTCATAGTCAGAGCAAGTGGCTACGAGCGTTGTCGCAGCTATACATGTCAACACCTGAGTTTTCATCATCGATACTCGATCATTCTGACACCTACAATGAATGACATAGAGTGCGACGAACTCGGGGCCGGCGCAGTACCACCACTAGTACTACGACGACGACGAACGACAGCAGCAGAGGAAAAAAGTGAGGAGGAAGGAGCGGCCCTAGCAGCCTGAAAGGAGGCTGCTAAACGCCCCAAAATGGTAAATATTACACTGTCAGAAGGTTAGTATACAGAACATACAGGGGTATCTCAGATTTTGATGCACATGATTCACTCATGTGGCCCAGGCCTCCTTCTCTCGCCAGCGGCGCAGTTGCTGTGCCCCCATCGACAGCTTTATCCGCATCTCGCGCGCGTCTCTCTACGGCAGCCAGCATGCGCTCATCGACCTTGGCATGTTTGAAGATAAACTAGGCATGTCAGGTATGATGACGTATGATGCCGGTGCTCTGTACTATGTTGCAATTGTACAAGGTACATTCCACTGTACAGATAGATTGGAGTGCTTCTTAGACGCTGGGCGACTTTAATGTTCAATGCCTCAGTGTTCAAGCTTTGAGCGTTCAAGATCCGTAGTCTTTCCAAGATTAGGGCGTAGGGCTTTGGGGATATGTGTTCAAGGGACTTCAATTTTGCCAGAGATTCTCTGCCACTGTGAACCAAGGAAACAATTGTTGGGCTCCCAGTCAAGTCTCCTGGTCGTGATTTTGTGTTGAGGGGGCAATCTCTGTAGGGTCGGACAAGTTGGACAAGCTCACGCGACACGTCCAACAAATACTGAACCTTGGAATCTAACCCCTAAACCTCACAGGTGGATCGCCGCACCTTGGGCTAAACGTGCCGAAGGCTCATTATCTCAGGTTGGGCCCCGGACCATTGCTATTGAGAGCAAAGCAGCGCTTCTGGTGTGATCGTGATGGTAGCGCATTGGTCAGTTCTGCATCCACAAACAGATCCCCAAGACACGTCACTGGCATCAGCGTCAAAATTACACCTCTCGAGAGAAGTAGGACTCAGCGTCTGATTGTCGAAAGCCTTGAACCGTCGTATGTACTCTACAGTCGAGGCTCCCCATGGCTCTCCATTCAGCCGAGGATCTGTTCCAGGAGCCACTAAGTAGTGCACATCCACCATGTTTTCCTCACACCGACCACAAGCTTAGTTTTGCAGCTCTGAAGGGTGCGAGACAAGGACGACAAATACACGACGAGGTGACCTCTATGCAGGCAGGACGTGTGGGGTTGGGATGTCTTAGGACAGGGTTGTTGGTCTAAGGAAAAAATGCAAAATCTCTCCCAGCAAAATACTGGAGGTCCAGGGTCTTACTCGCCTCGGGATCCAAACCAATTCCACACTCTTAACGTCGAAGCACCGAGTTGTGAGAAGCAACACGATCTCACAGCGAGCGTAGCACACCGGATTGACCGAACTCGATACCTTCAATTCGCGGAACTTAGCAGAGTGGACCGCAAACTGTGATAAGACTACTGGTAGATGTCCCGAGCTGAAGCCGAAGGCCATGATCAAGACGACACAACTAGGCCGTGGCCTGAAAGTACATCAACAAACAGGCCTGGCCAAGGCGATGGGCTCGATCCTGGAGAGGTCGAGGATATTGCAGCTTGGGGGTCTGAGGTTCTCTCGATTGCAGGGCCTTGCTCGTTTGGGGTTGAAAGGGAAAGACTTTCTCCAAAGAGCTAAAGAAGCTAGTCTTCATACATGAAATCTGTAGCAGCTTTAGCAGCCGTGCAACTCGTCCGGACATGGGTCGAGGATGGTCAAGGCTTTCATCCAGTATTCCTACCCGTAACATGCCGTAGCCTCTCGAAACCCTGAACATGCGGGATACAGAGGCCAACCATGGCATGGGGTGGCATGTTCGGAGACTCTGATTCGCGAGAAGATTGAGAAGTATCCTGTGTTTTGGTCTGGAATCTTCCCGCTTCTCTAGATGCCTTCCTTTTTCACAACAGTTTTGGGCAGATGAAAACTTGCAGGTCTCAAGCACGAAATTCCTGGTCAATGCCGTACGCAAGCCGCAGTTTAGCAGCATGTGGTGCACGTCTTACGATCACCAAACAAGCTAGGCCTGGGTGCGTCAGTTCGGCGAGCCTCTGCTTGGAGGAGTGTCCCAGGAACCCAAAAGAGCTCCTTGCGAAGGTTGTGCGCTGCCGAAACAAGCTTGGGCTGTGAGCCCGAGGCAGAAGCCCTGACTTTGAGCATGCTGCTGGATGAACTTGCACGACGATAGTCTGTGTTGTACTCTTAGGCATTGCTTGGATTCAATCACTGCGCTGGGTTGGCCTGCTTTCGGGGATCCTTAGCCATGCCGTGTGGGGCCCGGCACAAGAAAGGGATTTCTGAGTGCTGCAGCCGCCAACGGCATAGAAGAGCCAGGAACTTCCACAACCCTGCATCCCCAGCACTATAGCCGGCACGCAGTCGAACGTCAAGCAGTAGACTGCATCCTTACAGACCAAGGGCTCCAAATACAGACAAATGAGAGGCCGCGAATCCTGAGAAACCCTACTACGTGTTGTGCTCGGAGCCCCAACAAGCATTGATGTGCTTTCTGGCTCTGGGCCTTGAACAATAGGGGACTCGTATGTCTTGGGCGACCGCGTCCTCCCTGCTAACATTGGTATGCTCCGAAGCCCAAGCACTCAGAGTATGTCTTCTAATGCCTGTCCATCACCCTGTGGTTAAACAAGGAAATGGGTTCTCGAAAGTTCTGCTGAAACCTCCTCTCGGACGGACAGCCCGACAGCCCAACCCCTGGCTCGCTCCGCAAAAACAACGACGGAGGCAGCACTGAGCCTCATTTGGATGGAGGATTCGATTCCTAGGGCCTTCTCACTCACTAGCGTGACGAGTTAGCGAAACACACTTCGGGGCTCCGGCCGTAATCCTCCTAGGATTCGAGTTAAGTTCAAGCTTTCATGGCTGCATGGAACTCCACAAGTAGCTCTGCAAGCTTCGCGAATCATCCACGATCCTACACTGTCGGCTTGAAACTTGTATCCCGAAATTGAAGTCATGAACCCGACAATGTCAAGCACCGAACCATACTTCTTCAAAATCCAACCGAAGATCTTAGCTCAATCCTTCGTGCATGAAGTCGCTTGTCTAGGCTCCCGGATCTCACAGCCTGGGTTCCCACCCAAACGCTTGAGGAACCAAATGCACTTGAAGCCTGCAACCCCTTACTGCACTCGGGTCGCGTGAAGCCTTGCGAGCATGCTGTGAGGGACAGCAGCGCCACCTCCACAACTGGACGTCAGCTGTTGATGCTTTGCGTTCATGCGTTGCAGCAGTAGTAGCAGTGCAATAGCAGTGTGGTAGCAGTCAACGGAAAACAGAGCAGCAGCAGCTGCTGCAGCAGCAGGAGTAGTAGTAGTAGTAGTAGTAGTAGTAGTAGTAGTAGTAGTGAGTAGTAGTTAGTAGTAGTTAGTAGTAGTCGTAGTAGTAGTAGTAGTAGTAGTAGTCGTAGTAGTAGTAGGTCAGTAGTAGTGTTAGTAGTAGTAGTAGTAGTAGTAGTAGTCAGTAGTAGTGTTAGTAGTAGTTATTGTAGTAGTAGTAGTAGTAGTAGTAGTAGTAGTAGTAGTAGTGAGTAGTAGTTAGTAGTAGTT